GAATTCAGCTTCTCATCTGAAAATCATCAGCTTTTAATATTTAACCAGATTTTAAAAGCGTGCACAAGAGTCTGTAGAAGGTCTGTCTCACCTGGAAGTCCAGAAGAAAAGCCCACAAGGGCTAAGACCAGGCTGAAGCCCAGGCTCCAGCTCATCGTGGCGAGGATGTTTACCCCAGAAGATGTTCTGCTGGTCCGTCGTCTCCGGTCCCTCAGAACAACTCGACTGAACTTGTGGAGAAAAAAGCCTCATTATAAAGCAGAAGTTGTGTAATCATCTTCCTGCTTTCTTCCTCCACCTCTGTGAACATGAAAGAATTAGACAATGACTTCACTCAATGACCAACAACATGGGAGTCACGCTGAGAGTTCAGAGGTCACGCCGGTGCCAAAACCCTCTAATCTGGACCTTTCATTAAGAAATGAAGCTAATCTGTTGCAGATTAGTGAAAACTGGGCCTACAGGTGTTTTTTGTTTTGTGGAAGTCTCATTTATGTCACAACTGTTCATGTTCATAGTCACAAGGTTCTGCTGCTCAACAACAAACAAACGTTTCCAAACCTCCGAGTCCCTTTACTCACAGCCTTATCGTTTATAACTCAGGACACACGATCACTCATGGGCCTAATATAGAAATATGCTGTTGCTACGGTGATCTCAGCAACTTAAAACTCTGATTGGGTTTTTAGTCACCATAATTTAAGATGAATAGTTTTAGTTTTTTCTGCTAGTGCAACACATTCTCACACCCAAGGCGTCAAAATATGACGCGTGTGACCAAGCCTCAATAAATGACGATTCGGGTCGCCCCAGCGCGTCAGGAGACGACGATCAGGGACAAACAGATGACGCAGCGTCCCAGAGCGTCGGTATCCGACGCCGGTGGTGAGACGGACATTAGAACTACTTGTGAACTACTTAACCTTCCCCTCACCCCAATCCTAACCTTAAGGTCACCTTAAGATTAGGATTGGGGTGAGGGGAAGGTTAAATAGTCGAATAATGTCCGTGTGACCGCACGCGTCAAACAGTGACGCCAGCGGAGCCACTTGACCCAGCGTCTTCCTGATCGTCATCTCCTGACGCGCTGGGGCGACCCGAATCGTCTTATATTGAGGCTTGGTCACACGCGTCATATTTTGACGCCTTGGGTGTGAGAATGTGTTGGGTAGCGTTATGGATGACCGTCTTTCTGGGACAAAGTCCACGTTCCAGCTAGGTCACAGCTGGGTCAAGATATAGCCTTTATCCACAAATTAAAGCCATCAGGAGCCGGAGTGTCTGAAGATTATTCATCAGCCTGACTGTTTATCTGTGTCCATCCCAAGATGAAGGACATCTTCAACTATTATCAAATAACTCAATAAAAGCTTATAATTAGTAAGGTTTATAATAATCATCATAAATAATCATCCTTTTCATAATAAATGCATTCTAATTAATGAAATGACTTATTAACCTTTGGTTAATAATAATTATTATTCATGATAATCAGTAATTTTTATTCAGTAACCAGAAGATGCTTTTGCACGTGTCCAGCTCATGCAGGATTCACTTCAAGGTAAATACTTCACACATGTTTTTACGCATGATCAAAGCTTTCTTCCTGAGAGGGTGGGCGTGTCCTGGAGCTTGGTAAAACTAACCATCCCCAGCTTCAGAACCAGTTCTTGAACCAACACCTCGGAGATAGGGGAACGGCCGTCCCTGAATCTCCACCTGCTGTTCAGTCACGCCGACTAGAATAGCTAAAGAATAAACGAACTGTAACCAGCTAACGAAGACTCTCCCAGAGTCATTGATGTCTGAAGTTCAGACGAGAACGTCCATCTACCATACGCTGACACCCGTGTACCCAGGACAACTCTGGACCAGACGATCGGACACTTGCGTCTCCCCACCAGACTGAGTGTCATCTTGGATGAACCACATCCTCCTGATCTCCGGATCCACATGAGGGTCCTGTTTGGGTGAGGTAGCACACGGGAATGCGTTTGAGGCTGTTTCTCTCTAAATAACTCAGTTAGCCTCAAAACATCATTTTCATCCAGAACGCTTCCAACTCTCTGGGAAAGAAACCTTCTCACAACTTCATTCACGCATCCAAACTCGTATTTTCCATTCAGCTTCCATTCAGGCACAGGTTTGCTTTTAACACAAGTTTAATATCAAAGCTGTTAAAAATTGTCATTAAAATTGCCATCCATGAATTGTCATTTTATATTTGTCGTTTCAAATCTTTCACTGTTAGTAATACATTTCTTCATTTTTAAACTTGCCACGGTATTGAAACGAAACACACAAAAGGTATAAAATTTCTGGTTATTTAAAAGCAAACATCCTAGTTTCTGATGTAAAATAACTTTGCTATTAAATTTAATTATCTAAATTAAACATTAATCTTTGGATTAAAATTAGATCAAACAGGCTGATGTATGAACTTAGATCGATATAAGTATCCGGGATATTTATATTAATGATCTAAGCCTCTTAGGTTAATCTGATTGGTCATTTTTTTGGAATCTCCACTGAATAGCAACAGGTGATTTCAGTTTGCAGATTTAACTCTACAGTTGGCTAGTCTACTTTCAGTTAGAAGGTTCTCCCAACTCCAGTAGCTTGGTTAGGTATCTCGGGCCTGTCCTCTAAAGGCCCGTTTACACCACGGTCTGGCTCTGGTAGGGCTGTTGCATCTATGGTGGCGTCGTCCGTGCATTGTTCATGTTTTGTGCTGAGCCAACCATACACCCCTGTCTTTTATTCGTCTAGTTCAGGGGTGTCAAACTCATTTTAGCTCAGGGGCCACATTGATGGAAATCCAGTCGCAAGTGGGCCGGACCGGTAAATTAAAAAAATACTACAGATTGTTTTCTTTGTTTTAATACAGTCAATATAAAACAAGGCTGGAGCCTGAGGACAGTGTAGTACAAGTACAACACCTGAAGTGTACATGAAAATTTGAAATAAATTTAAAAAATCAACAAATAAAAACATTCCTTAGTGATTCAAAGAGCTTACAGATCACATAGCTAGATCAGTTTCATGCAGCACTTAAAGTATATTTGACTCATTTTACTTTACATCTTTTAGCTTTCACCAGCACATCAACATCAGAAGTCACATCCTGAGTGGCGGCCAACTTCAGGATGTGATTCAAGTTCTTGTGTGAGCCTTGAGCGCAGCTTTGTTGCATTTATACTCATTACAGAGAAAACTTGCTCACAAACATAAGTTTATTTTAACTCTACATTGTAAAGTATGAAAATAAAGTTTACACAACCATCTCGCGAGCCGGATTTAACCCGCTTGAGGGACGGATTCGGCCCGCGGGCCGCATGTTTGACACCCCTGGTCTAGACAGTCTTTGGCACATCCAGTTTGCCCTTAGCACATCTAGCTAGCCCTTAGCACTTCTAGCTAGCCTTTAGCACATCTAGCTAGCCCTTAGCACATCTAGCTAGCCCTTATTACTTCTAGCTAGCCCTTAGCACATCTAGCTAGCCCTTAGCACATCTACTGTATAGCCCTTAGCACATCCAGCTTGCCCCGTTTTATTTTTCTAACCTTTATTTAACCGGCAAAACGGATTAAGAACGGATTTCTTATTTACAACTGTGGCCTGGCAAAAGGCAATGCCTTTTGAGTGAAATGGAAAGAGGTCTATACCATAAAATAGTTTAAAGCAGCATAAATTGGACAAAAAATTAAAATACATGATTATACACACACTAATGCCATTTACAAAGGTAGATATAAATAGCTATAAAATAGCTGGAAGTCAGTCTAAGTGACAACAACTTGGAAAGCTGCCTTTGTGATGAGTGAGTCCAGTTTTTGGGGTTTTTGTAGGTCGTTCCAGTCTCTAGCAGCAGCAGACTGAAAGGACAACAAGCAAAATGCAGAAGCAGTTTTAGGAACTGTTAACAAAATCAGGTTTGCAGATCAAGTATTGTATGCAGGAGATCAAATATGAAACAGCTGTTGAGTAAGGAGGAGACAAACCAAGGAGAGTTTTGTAAATCAACATGAACCAGTGGATTTTTCAACGGGTGTACAAAGACAGCCACTTAAGAGAAGAATACAGAATACAATGGTGGTGAAAGAAGTGTTTGTAACAAACTAGATGTCAGTGTGGTGAAGAACATCAAGCTAATGAAGTAATCTTCTAGATGCTGATCTATAAACGACATCATCATAATCCAACATTGGGAGAATAGTCATTTGCACCAATGATTTTCTTGCAGATGAAGTGAAGGAGGAACACATTCTGAGGGAGCTGAGCTTTGACCTAATCTGTAAATTGTTGATGTTTTGAAAAAGACAGAGTACTGTCTGGCTAGATTCCCGGATTTTATTATCCAGCAACCTGTTCTAGAGATGTTCCATCCAGGGTGCCGATACTTGGTGAATTAGATGGTACATGACCTTTTTTACCAAACCACATGACTTTAGTTTTGGATTTGCTTAACTGAGGATGCAATCTGGAAAGTGCATTTTGCATTCTGTTGAAACTGAGCTGAAGTTGTTTAGAAACTATAGCAGGAAAGGCCAACGGAGTAGAGGACCGTGTCTACTGCATAGAGATGAACACATGAATCTACAACAGAATTTGCTGGATTATCAATGTAAATGGAGAAAAGGGTGGGACCAAGTATTGACCCATGTGGAACACCGTTGGTAGCTGGAAGTGGCTGAGAACAAAGTCGTTCGACTTCACACACTGCACTCTGTCTATTAAATAGTTTGAGAACCAAGATAAAGAAATATCAGAAATGCCAATATAGCTAAGCTGGTCAACAGACATTTGTGATTCAGCATATCAAAGGCTTTTGCCAAATCAACAAAAATAGATGCAGAATGCAACTTAGAGTCCAAAGAAGAAATTATGTCATTTAGGACTTTGAGGGTTGCAGTTGAACAGCCTTAACCAGGCTATGGTTTTTAGTTTTAAATTTAAGCCACAGTTTTCAACATCATAAATAAACAAAACAGACACTTGATGCAAGAACAAAGACATGTTTATTATTAAATAAAGTTATCATATTTGCAGAACTTTAACAGCAAAATAATATAATCTAACATTAAAAACCTCTTTCTCTGATCACTTTCATAAATACAACAAAACCCCAATATTCTAGTGCATGAAGAAATAAATTAAATAACTTAAAACCATTTAAAGAAACTAATTATTTCACTTAATAATTTAACATAATTATGTTCCTACAGGTTTCTCCCAAACAATTGAAACTTTTTTCATATTGCTGCTCGAGGAGGAGGAGCTGTGAGTCTACTCATAATCACTTTCTGAAAACGTCTCGTCCGCTGGCACTGGTGGAGTGGAGGAGGAAGGTGATGAGGATGGAAGCAGGGTGGAGGAAGGAGGAGGAGATGAGGATGGAAGCAGGGTGGAGGAAGGAGGAGGAGATGAGGATGGAAGCAGGGTGGAGGAAGGAGGAGGAGATGAGGATGGAAGCAGGGTGGAGGAAGGAGGAGGAGATGAGGATGGAAGCAGGGTGGAGGAAGGAGAGGAGGTGGTGGTAGTTATGATGGAGAGGAGGGAGACTGATGAAGGAGGAGCGGATGCTTGAGCCTTTGTCTTTCTGTTGGGGAAACAATAAAAAATGTAATATTTGAGGCAGACGAACCAACTAAGAATCAGGTGGTGGTTACCATGGTAACCCGAAGTAAATTGCTGAACAAACTCACCTGAACTCCTGAATCTTGCGTAGCGCCCATGGGTTAATCTGATTACAGTAAAGACCAGATTCTGTCTGAAAGCTGCGGAGATGGAAACAGATTAGATCAGAATAAAAAAGACAGTTTCATTCAGGAAAATTCAGAAGGATTCCCGCTTACATGACGGCTCTGACACATGGAAGGTTGGGTTTTTGGACCAAATATCCCAGGATGGGTTCTGTGATCTGTTTAGTGCTGACTCTCTTACAGCAAGAAGCCAGTTTCTCACCTGAGAAACAACAGAAACGGATATAAGTTTCACTTTTTTACTCCAAACAGAAGAAAATGTGTCCTTGGATGGACTACCGACCTGTCCAGGATGTCTCCTGCCTCTCGCTCGGTGACTCCTGGACACCAGCTGCCTGAGACACTCCTGAAGAAAGAGCAAATTAAAAATGAGCAAAAGTGGAAGAAAATCCTCGTTACCAGTTTTACTTTGAGCTCCGTCTCACTTGTTTGTCCAGAAACCAATAACAAGATGGAGGCGACCAGCGCGCTTTTCAACAGGCTTCCACAGTTGGCCATGTTACTAAAGATAAATATTATTACAATAAATAAACTCAGTGTTTCTGTGGCCTCCTCTCATGAAACTAACAGACGTTTGGAGAAAATCTCCTCTTAAAGGCCCAGAAAGCAGAAGTTGTTTTTTTACTTCATCAGCAACTTTTCTTTATCCCTTTCCTTCTGACCAAACGGAAGAAACTAGACGCTGACTTCAGGGGAATTCCAGAAAATGACCGGCAGTTTTCATCATATCTTCATCTGGAAAAGTAAAATCATGAGTTCAGAGTGTCATGGTCCATTTTGACCCTCGTCACCATTTATTACATCTCTAAACTAAATAAGTAAAGCTTTTAGAGTCAGGATGCGTCATTTGCTAATCCTGATTCTCCAGCTATGAATAAAACAGGACTCAGTAAGGATCCCTGGGGAGCGCCATTATGATTAATCAAGTAACTGTATACACATCAAGGTTCTGCCATAGAAGTACACTGAACAATGTCATTCAAATCCCAGGTTAAACAGGTTTGTAGGATTTTCTTTTTCCACCTTGGGAATATTGCTATGATTAGAAGTATCCTTTCCAGGAGTGATGCTGAAAAACTAGTTCATGCATTTATTACATCAAGACTGGATTACTGTAATTCATTACTCTCAGGAAGTCCACAGAATGTAGTTAAAAGTCTTCAGCTTGTCCAAAATGCTGCAGCTAGAGTTCTGATGAGAATTAAAAAGAGAGATCCTATCTCTCCTGTCTTAGCTTCCCTACATTGGCTACCTGTTAAATTCAGAATAGATTTTAAGATCCTTCTTCTCACATATAAAGCTCTTAATAATCAAGCTCCATCATACATCAGTAATCTGATAATTCCATACGTTCCTAACCGAGCACTTCGCTCTCAGACTGCAGGTCTACTGGTGGTTCCAAGAATATCTGAAATTAGGATGGGAGGCAGATCTTTTAGTTATCAGGCTCCTCTCCTGTGGAACCAGCTCCCAGCTTTAGTCCGTGAGGCAGACACTTTGTCTACATTTAAGAATAGGCTTAAAACATTTTTATTTGATAGGGCCTATGGTTAAAATCTGATGTTAGCCTAGATCTGGACAAGTGGGGGAGTAGAGGGAGGTGGAGTGTACAGTCGGTAAAGACGATTCTCCCTTGCCCTGCCTCCAACATGCCTCCATCTAAATAGGATAGATTATCCAGTCATCTCTGTAGTTATGCTGCTATAGGCTTAGACTGCTGGAGGATACACTGACCACTTTTCACACTCTACTACTTTCTTCTACAATCTGCTCTTTAACTGTATTATTTCCTGCTATTTAGGATTGCTGTATAGTCACTGATACTAGTCACTGACTTGATGCAATTTGCTGGGTTCCTTATATAGGAAACATTATTTCTGATTGGCTTAATGAACTGACCTGATTTGGAATGTTTATTGTGTGAAGTGCCTTGAGACGACTCTTGTTGTGATTTGGCACTATATATATAGCTATATATGTATATATATATATATATATATATATATATATATATATATATATAAATATATATATATATATATAGATAGATAGATAGATAGATAGATAGATAGATAGATAGATAGATAGATAGATAGATAGATAGATAGATATAGATATAGATATAGCTATATATATTGAGCTGAACTCAAATATCTGAAAATGTGTCTACAAACACAAAACACCCATGACTCTCAAATATTGTTCTGAAATCCGTCTACATGTGTGTTAGTGAGCACTTTTCCTTTACTAAGATAATCCATCCCACCTCACAAGTGTGGCATATCAAGGGGCTGATTAGACAGCATGAATAATGTACAGGTGTGCCTTAGACTGCCCACAATAAGAGGACACCCTGAAATATACACAGTTTTGCTTCATGGAGTTGGTGGGGCAGAAAGCCAGTCAGTATCTGGTGAGGCCACCATTTGCCTCACACAGTACAACACATCTCCGTGGCATAGAGTAGATCAGGTTGATTGTGACCTATGGAACGTTGGTCCACTGCTCTTCAATAGCTGTGTGAAGACGCTGAATATTGGCAGGAACTGGAACACACTGTCGTATACGCCGATTCAGAGCATCCCAAATATGCTCAATGGGTGACATGTCTGGTGAGGATGCTGGCCACGCAAGAACTGGGGATGTTTTCAGCTTCCATGAATTGAGTACAGATCCTTGTAACATGGGGCCGTGCGTTATCATGCTGCAACATGAGGTGATGGTCATGGACGAACGGCACAACAACGGGCCTCAGGGTCTCGTCACGGTACCTCTGTGCATTCAAGATGCCATCAATAAAATGCACCTTTTTTTGTTGTCCATCACATAGTCCTGCCCATACCAGTACCCCACCGTCACCATGGGCCACTCGTTCCACAACGTTGACATCAGCAAACCGCTCACCCACACCATGCCACACACACAGTCTGCCATCTGCCCTGAACAGTGAAAATCAGGACTCATCTGTGAAAAGAACGCCTCTCCAACATGTCAAACGTCATTGACTGTGAGTGTTTGCCCACTCAAGTCGGTTCCTACGATGGATGGCAGTCAGGTCCAGACCCTCGATAAGGACGATGAGCATGCAGACGAGCTTCCCTGAGACGGTTTCTAACAGTTTGTGCAGAAATTCTCTGGTTATGCAAACCGATTGTTGCTGCAGCTGTCCAAATAGCTGGTCTCAGGCATCCTGGAGGTAAACATGCTGGATGTGAAGGTCCTGGGCTGGTGTGGTCACACATGTGGTGTGGTTGTGAGGCCGGTTGAATGTACTGTCAGGTTCTCTGAAACGCCTTTGGAGACGGCTTATGGTAGAGAAATTAACATTAATTTCACAGACACAGACTCCGGTACACATTCCTGCAGTCAGCATGCCATTTGCACGCCCCCTCAAAGGTTGAGACATCTGTGGCTGTTTGATCAACCTGCACCTTTCATGGTGTCCTTTTATTGTGGGCAGTCTAAGGCACACCTGTACATTATTCATGCTTTCTAATCAGCCCCTTGATATGCCACACCTGTGAGGTGGGATGGATTATCTTGGTAAAGGAAAACTGTCCCTAACACACATGTAGACACATTTCAGAACAATATTTGAGAGTCATGGGTGTTTTGTGTATGTAGAAAGTTTCAGATGTTTGAGTTCAGCTCATGAAAAGTGGGAGCAAAAACAAAAGAGTTGCTTTTATATTTTTGTTCAGTGTATTTTCCAAACTATCAAAAAGATTCCAACCTTTGACCTCCTAATGGAGTTTACACTGAAAGCATGTTTCTCTCTAGAGACAGAAAATAAAACATTAAAAAAACTGAAGATAGATTTTAGTAGCAAAAGCACTCAATAAGAATTGAGTCATTTTGGAACCTACTTACAAAAACTTTCCTTTATAAATAACTAACAGTCAATAGCTGTTTAAAACCCGTTAAAAGCATAAAGCCTGGCTTTATTTGCTGCTTTTATTGTTGCCACCGGCCCTAATTATGACTTATTTTCTTGTATATTTTGGATTTCCTTGAGTTAATGTTTGTTTTTAGTCTGTAAATGATCATTAACCATCTGCAGAGGCTGAAAGACGTCCACCTGAAACTGAGATCACACTGGAAGGAGGAAATGTTGTTGCTGAGATGGAACGGAAACAAAGCGAGGGACAGGAAATGACTTTACGTTGCATCAGGGGTTTGAGCAGAAACATTCACCAGGTTTTCTCTGAATTTCATCATCTTTTGTGGTCTAAACTATTTTCTTCTGGAAACGAAAACAACATTGTTCCTTATGGTTTCATGCAGGTTTGAACCTAGGTTCAGGGTATTTTGATGAGGCTGTAATCAGCGTCATCATTTCTGTAGAACCTGGGAGAACTTTCGGGCTTCATAATGTCCGTTTATTCTCTTTGAGCTGTTATTGTGATTTTAAACACTGACCAATGAAATGATTAAAGCTCCAGCTGGACCCAGAAGCAGAGATGAAGATGACCTGAGGGAGCCACCCCTTCCTGGTCGTCTTTATAGACCGCTCCATGTGTTTGCAGTCCAGCCGTGAGACCATCATGGCTGTCCTCCGTCGACCACACAGCCACCTTGGTGTTATGCTCGTCTAACATCATTATGCTCCCCATGCTGCAACCAGCTTCCTGATTTATTACTGCAAACATTTTCTGCATGGTCAAAACATCATGTAGAGGCGTTGCAACACCTAAAGACCTCACCAAGACCCCCATCAGGTCTTCATCCTGTGTAAAATGGGCTGTGACCTCATCAGATGGAGTCAAAAATATTTAGCTTGATGAAGAAAAATATATAGAAAAGATCAAAAATTGACAAATTAAACAAAAGTTTGATTTTAAAATCAGTTGCAGACTGTTACAGATGTTTAGAAAAGAAGAAAATCACCAAAGGAAACACAGTGGTGGCGGAGTAATGGTTTGGGTTTAAACTTCGAAGTGTTGATCTTATCAACAATGATGATTCAGATTATGATCAGGCACACTAGTAATGTCTTGTGTTTAGCAAAAATCCCATCAGTCTTCTTTAAGGATCCAAAAAAGATTGAAGGAAAAAGCTGCAAAACGTTGGTGTTTTAAGTATTGTTTGCATTTTTTAAGATTAAAATAAAAAACTGACTCTTTTTAGCCTTGAACAGTTTTTTCTCCAAATATATTTTGCTTTAATGCAAAAATCCGAAGAAAGGAAGGATGAACTAAAATTTCACTTTGCAGCAGACAGAAAAGCAGAAGTGGAAACAGGAAGGAAACAAATGAAATTCTAAAGATGAGTGTTTACAATCATTTGCTTCTGGAGTTTTTCTGTTTGAGCATCAAACACGCTGTATTAAGATGCTTTCACCAACAGAAACACAAATCATGATGGTGGGATGATAAAAATAAATTTCCTCTTTACCACTCCTCATTCGCTGTTGCACCACACAAAAGCGGGAGTTGGGGGATTTGGGGGATTTCCCAGCTTTTAAAAGGAATTTTGGTGGTAAAGTTTAAAAGATTTCTCAATTCCTGCTGCTGCTTTTTATAAAAAGACACAAACAAGGCGGAGTTAGTAGATGAACTACTGTGATCTCCATGAATCATTGCTTCAATCCAACTAAAAGGTTAAA